AATCTATATATATACAAATGAATGTGTATTTGTATGTATGTATGTTTGGACTTTATAGACGGCTAAACCGATTCGAAATTTCAAGTGGGAGGGGTACCATGCCCTCATACAAACTTAGTATTAAAAGAAAGAGCAACAGTTAGAGTTTTCAAATTTTGTATGGACATCTTTGACATCCATGAGATTATTTTCGAACAAAATGGGCGTAATGGCATATGAAGAAAATATTAAATAATTTAATTTAATTAAGAGTCCTCAATTTCATTTTCATTAAGGGGGCTTCGAAACCGCCCCCCATATGAATTAAATAGAAAGTTTCGTATATCTGAGAAACTATTAGAACTAAATATGGAGTTGTCGTTTGTCTGGAAAACTATTAGACCTAGTTAGTTAGTTAGTTTGAAAGGAGGATGTATATACATCAAATCCGAAGAAATACACCTAGGCCTCTATCGGGCTTGTTGTGCGCTCCTTAACCAGTGCCTTAGGTGGGAATCGAACCCACCACCTATTAGACCCACCAAAACTATTAGACCTAAAATCTGCAAATTTTGCACGACGATATTTAACATTTATTTCAACATTTTGGGGAAAATGGGCTGACTTTCATTAGGGGTGGTTGAAATTTCTCATATGAATTATATTAAAATCTAGTTACATTAAAATCTAACATTTGGGTAACTTGGCGAACTTGCAATAATTTGCGTGGCATCCCCAATATGTAAAAAAAATTATATCTGAAAACTATTATAGTTAGAATTTTCAAAATCGTAAAGTGCTTTCTTATTTACATTGCTTTAAGAGTAGCAAAGCACACTGGATATAGCTAGTTTTTTTAAAAAATGAACCTTTAAGCATACAATTAAACACGCAGCGTCCAGATTGAATGAAAATCTATAAAAGGGGACATTTTTGATACTTTTTCCTTCTTCAAATGGTACTTTTTGATTTTTCTGTAATATAGAACCTAGAAACATATAGTAATTGTAATATTTGTACATATTTTAAAGAAATCTCTAAAAGGAGACTTTTTGACACTTTTTCGTTCTTCAACTAGTACTTTTTTTTTTAATTTTTTATAAAATTGAACCCAGAAACATATAATCAAATATATATGATCCTGATGAAATGAAAATCTATAAGTGTGAACATTTTGGTACTTTTTCTTTATTATAAGAATAATGCAGAAGAAAAATTCTGTACTTTAGTACTGTTTTCAGTATTTTCCAACTTTGAAAAATACCGCAATATCCCCACGACTTCTTAGACACTTTTTCTTACTTATAAACTTTTGACAAGTAGTATATAGTATAGTATATAATCTAGTCTATAGTCTAGTCTATAATCTAGTCTATAGTCTAGTTTATAGTTTAGTCAAAGGAGTAGTCTACAGTCTGGTCTATAATTTAGTCTATAGGTTAGCCCATGGTGTAGTCTATAGTCTAGTCTGTAGTGTAGTATATAGTCCAGCCTATAGTGTAGTCTATAATCTAGTCTATAGGATAGTCTATAGTGTAGTCTATAGTCTAGCCTATAGTCTAGTCTAGTTTATAGTCTTGTATATAGTCTAGTATATAATATAGTATAGACTAGTCTATTAGTTTAGTACTTAAAATTACCCTAAAAAAGTACTGTTTTAGTCATAAGGTAGGTAGTACTGCAGAGACATACATATATTAAGAATTTGCAATAACTACTGATTATATGAATATATTTAAAAAAGCCTAAGAGCGGGCTTTTGAGATGGCAATCAAATGTCAATTAATAATCAGATTAGTTAATCAAAAAATAAATTTAATCTTATGTTAATCCTCTTTGATGTTTTTGAGTACAAGATTAAACTTCGCAGTTTTGGCATACAAAACAACAGAAAACGTCACTGTTTGTTATCAAAACAATGCATATTTTGTAAAAAAGGAGAAGACAAATGTAAATTTAATATGAAAATTAATGAAAACTTAAATTAAAAACAAGTTAGAGTGCTATATTCGGCTGAGCCGAATCTTAAATACCCTCCACCAGCTACTTTTATATTAATACTTTTTTAATTGATCAAATATTTGTAGAAATAAGTTTTCTCATGTCTTAAATAGAAAAACCCCAAGATTTAAACAGCTTAAATCTGTTACAATTCCAAGATTTGTTAAACATTACAAACCCCATTTTCTTTTATATTTTTATAGCGCCCTTAGATATGCTTTAACGATATTTAATAATGTGCATGTATGCATGTGTGTGAAAGATTTAAGGATTTTCAAAATACATACATATAATTTTGTTCTACACAAATTGTTATTAGGGGCAGGACCTAGTATGGGAAGCTAAATTTCTGTACATAAAAGCTATATTTCAGTCAAATTTTGTATCTATATCGTAATTTAGTAATAAGTAATGTGTGTTCAAGTGATTTTCTGAAGGGACACTTGCATGGGACCGACCGCACCCATGTTATGGACCGATCGTGCAAAAATCTTGAAATAGAATTTTTGTATACCAAACTAATATTTGTGCCAAATTTTGAATCAATAGCTTTACTTGGTAATGAGTATTGTGCGTTTAAGGGATTTTCGTAAAAGGACCTTGTATGGGAGCTATGACCAATTATGTATATAAAGACAAAATTTCAAAATTCTGTATCTATATCATTATTTGGTTATGAATATTGTGCATTTAAGTGATATTCTGGAGGGGACCTAGTATGAGACCTATGACCAAATATGGACCGATTGCAAAGCAATTTTATAATTTTTATGTATATAAGAGCAATATTTGTGCTAAATGTATGGATATCAATATTATGTAATGAGTTATGTGCGTTTAAGTGATTTTTGGGAGGTGACCTTGTATGGGAGCTATGACCAATTATGGACCGATCGGAAAAAACTTCCATAATAATATCTCTGTATATGTGAGCAATACTTGTACCAAATTTTATATGGATATCTTAATTTAGTAATGAGTAATGTGCGTTTAAGTGATTTTCGGGAGGGGACCTTGTACGGTAGCTATGACCAATTATGGACCGATCGGAAAAAAATTTCATAGTAATATTTCTGTGCATATTGGCAATACCTATTCCAAATTTTATATGGATATCTTAATTTAGTAATGAGTTATGCGCGTTTAAGTGATTTTCGGGAAGGGTCCTTGTATGGGAGCTATGACCAATTATGGACCGATCGCAAAAAAGTTGCACAGAAATATTTTTGTATATGAGAGCAATACTTGTACCAAATTTTATATGGATATCTTAATTTAGTAATGAGGTATGTGCGTTTAAGTGATTTTCGGGAGGGGACCTTGTATGGGAGCTATGACCAATTATGGACCGATCGGAAAAAACTTTCACAGTAATATTTCTGTGCATATGAGCAATACTTATTCCAAATTTTATATGGATATCTTAATTTAGTAATGAGTTATGCGCGTTTAAGTGATTTTCGGGAGGGGACCTTGTATGGGAGCTATGTCCAATTATGGACCGATCCAAAAAATTTTTTCTTTAGATGAATTCTATTGACATAAGATTTTAATTTGTAAAATTTTGTGAAGATATCAACATTCTGACGGAAGTTATTAACAAAAAACTCATTTTCCGGGAATATGTACTTTTGTATGGGAGGTATATGAAATTATGGACCGATTCTGGAAAATTTCAGCAGAAATAAATGTCTTGCGTAGAAACGAATGTATGAAGACTTTCATGAAATTATCTTGCATAGTTTTCGAGAAAATTACATCAGAATGTGTAAAAAATGCTTATTTTTTTCGGAGTTGTTTTAAATTTTGCTTCATAACTTTTCCCGATGTGAACCGATTTTGCTCATTTTCAATACCAAACTGTACCGGATAATAATGAATGTTTTGGGTGAATTTGCTTAAATTATATTGCTTCGTTTTAACGTGAGCGTGTTTTACACAGACAGACAGACGGACGGACGGACATAGCTAAATCGACTCAGAATTTCATAAGGACCCAGAATATATATACTTTGTTGGGTCTCAGATGAATATTTCTTGGTGTTACACACGGAATGACAAAGTTATATATACCCTCTATCACCACTGATGGTGGTGGAGGGTATAACAAAAAAAAAATGTATTTTGAAGTGTCCATAATTTATACTAATCAATAAACAGAACATTTTAATGTTTATATTTGTAAAAATAGTATTAATTTTTTTGCATCAGCTGTTTACACTTTTGCATTTCGTGCTTAAGTTTAAACCACCTCCATTGGGCGCTTAAACTTGCAAACAAAATTAACTAATTGAGTACTCCACAAGTAAGAGTTTTATATTCGGCTATGCCGAATCTTATATACCCACCATCAAACCTCGTTTGACTCGAATGATACTTACTTATGTCGAATTTCATATACACGTATTTTTAGGCCAGTTATAAGCGTTAAAGTAATTTTCTGAAGGGGGGTAGGGTCAATTATGGGTCGATCCTCATAAAATTTGATAGTCAGAATTTGATTCATATTAAATTTATTTGTGTCGAATTTCATCGCTACACTCTTATTTTTAAGCCATTAATGAGCGTTGCAGTCATTTTCTGAAGGGGACCTTATATGAGGGGTAGGGTCAATCATGGACCGATCCTCATAAAATTTTTTAGATAGATTTTGACTCGTATGAAACTTACTTATGTTGAATTTCATCTATATACTAGTATTTTTAAGTCAGTAATGAGCCTTAAAGTCATTTTCTGAAGGGGCCCTTATAAGAGGGTAGGGTCAATTATGGACCGATCCTCATAAAATTTTGCATAGTGATTTTGGATAATAAGAAACTTACTTATGATAAGAGTAGGGGAGCAGACCGGGTAAGTATCCAGTAAATCAGTGTATATTTGATAAAGTTCTTAAACCTATCGATATTAAGATAAAATTGGAACAAAATTGCTTATCCATAGAAGATAAAATATAATTTGATTTGGTCCACTAGCGATGGTGTTCGTCATAACAAATATAATGAGCGTTTTAGGTTTAAATAAACATATGTATGTATGAGCTTTTTCTTTTTGGTTTTTTATCAGCAAAGCGACATCTTTGTATTCATTTCTATATTACTTGTTGATAGAATAAATTTATTTATTTCACGTCTATACATAAACAATATAACACCTTACCCGGTAAATATTATTCGGCTTTTAATAAAAATAAAATTAAATTTAATCAAATTGTATAAACACTTTTAGATACTTGGCACTTTATACTCGTGTAAAAAATGTCGGAAATTAAAGACGAAGACTGCCAATTGAAATATATTCCAAATGCAACAATGATAACAAACAGTTCTCTGGATTCGTTTCCCAATGTCAAACACTTTTTTGAAATTCTAGTTAAAGACAAAGAATTTGTAAGCAAACATGTTGGAAGATCATTTCGTTATGATAATGATGTAGAATATAATCGTTATTATTCATACTATGGCCTATTTATGGAATATTTTATACGAAAACATTTGTCAAATCAGTTTAACATTGAAATAACTAATCGACGTACGGAACACATTCTGGAGCATCCCGACGACTATATCATTGGTAAAAATCTCACATTACGAGATTCAATTAAAGAAAATTATGAAATTTTTAAAGATTCCCACACCAAGGCCATGGACATTATTGAAAGTATAAAAATTGTATCACTTTCTCATGTAATATTTTTTAGAGAACCTTTGCCAAAACGTGAATACACAGTGAATGAGGATAATTTACGTGAAATTATAAGATATTTGGAAAGACTTCCCTATAAGTCGGTAGACCTGAATCCCTCTCTAGGATGTGATTATTTTAATGCAGATGCCAAACTAATATTTGATAATGAAGTAATATTTGAAATAAAAACTTCCAAACTTAATTCCCTTACACCCGAACAAAAGAAATTACCTTTAAGTAAATTTTATCAACCCATTATCTATGGTTTCGGTTTCTATAAGAAAACTGGCATTAAAGTAAGAAAATTTAAAATCTATAATCCGTTATTGGGTGATGAGTTTTCAATTGATTTGGACAATATTGATTTTGAATTATTCGAAAAAGTTCTAAAACGCGATGTTACAGTCTTCAGTCGTTTACATGAAATTCTCAATGAGAAAATGCGTTTGGATTTAACATTATTTTGTGATGAAGATGACGGAAAATAAAGTCATAATTAAAATACATAATTAAGTTATATATAATATATATAATTATATACATATATTGGCCTTTATTCATGTTTTATTATAATTTTATAAAATCAAATTTTTATACAAAATGTATTTCTTAAAAATATACATAGTTTTAATTATTTTTTGTTTTCCAATTGAAATAAAATATCTGAAATTTTCAATGAATTGTCTATTTATTTATTTATTTATTATTTATTTATTTATTTATTTATTTATTTATTTATTTATTTATTATCGATCTACTATCTACTATCTATCTATCTATCTATATCTATCTATCTATCTATCTATCTATCTATCTATCTATCTATCTATCTATCTATCTATCTATCTATCTATCTATCTATCTATCTATCTATCTATCTATCTATCTATCTATCTATCTATCTATCTATCTATCTATCTATCTATCTATCTATCTGTGTAAAATGTGTAAAAAATGCTTATTTTTTTCGGAGTTGTTTTAAATTTTGCTTCATAACTTTTCCCGATGTGAACCGATTTTGCTCATTTTCAATACCAAACTGTACCGGATAATAATGAATGTTTTGGGTGAATTTGCTTAAATTATATTGCTTCGTTTTAACGTGAGCGTGTTTTACACAGACAGACAGACGGACGGACGGACATAGCTAAATCGACTCAGAATTTCATAAGGACCCAGAATATATATACTTTGTTGGGTCTCAGATGAATATTTCTTGGTGTTACACACGGAATGACAAAGTTATATATACCCTCTATCACCACTGATGGTGGTGGAGGGTATAACAAAAAAAAAATGTATTTTGAAGTGTCCATAATTTATACTAATCAATAAACAGAACATTTTAATGTTTATATTTGTAAAAATAGTATTAATTTTTTTGCATCAGCTGTTTACACTTTTGCATTTCGTGCTTAAGTTTAAACCACCTCCATTGGGCGCTTAAACTTGCAAACAAAATTAACTAATTGAGTACTCCACAAGTAAGAGTTTTATATTCGGCTATGCCGAATCTTATATACCCACCATCAAACCTCGTTTGACTCGAATGATACTTACTTATGTCGAATTTCATATACACGTATTTTTAGGCCAGTTATAAGCGTTAAAGTAATTTTCTGAAGGGGGGTAGGGTCAATTATGGGTCGATCCTCATAAAATTTGATAGTCAGAATTTGATTCATATTAAATTTATTTGTGTCGAATTTCATCGCTACACTCTTATTTTTAAGCCATTAATGAGCGTTGCAGTCATTTTCTGAAGGGGACCTTATATGAGGGGTAGGGTCAATCATGGACCGATCCTCATAAAATTTTTTAGATAGATTTTGACTC